CGACGTATTTTCGAGGAGTATCATGTATATACGGTTGAGTGAGTACTTGACATCTGAGGCATATCATTTCACAGTGTCACATTGCATTGCATTGCATCTCATTACCCCATGTATTATTGTTGATTACGTGTGTTTATTGGTGGTTGTACATTACATGAAGTTGATTTTCCTTATTGATGGAACTTGATTGGTAAGTATAATATAGACTTTTGAGTCCGAGCTTGAAGTATCTTGGAGTTGTGGTGAGCTACTGGTTGTTCCGTAGCCCACACCTCCCTCTATTTTATGGTTTATTCTGTTGCTTTTGTTTTCGGACATGATATCTCTTATGTTTAGGCTTGTCATTTTAGTTTCAGATTTGCATCGTATTTTAGAAGCTCTAGTACTTATGACACCAAGTCTTGGGTGGTATTTTAGCTTTCCGCATTTCGTATTTATGAAGGACTTAGTGTTGGAGATATTTACTTGTTGTTTACTTTTTTACCTCATTATTTAGTTAAATTGGTAAAATTATTGGGTTGGCTTACCTATCGATTGGGAACATAGGTGCCATCACGACTTGTAAATTTGGGTCGTGATAATTTATTTTTAATTATAAAATTATTACATTTAAAATATGCGCAACGCGCGGATACGTATACTAATAATAATAATCATTATCTATATATCTATATCTATATGTGTCAACACCACAAAAAATAGACTATTTAAATAATTAAAATTAATTACATCTAATATGATTAAATAATAAATTAGTATTTTATTTTTAAAATGATTTTAAAGGAACTTTTTTACAACTTAACGATAAACAATTTTAAATCGTTCTAAACAAAAAAAAGAATAAAAAAATATTGCAAAAATAGGTAATAAACTGTGAATCCTTCGCTGGGAATGGGGTAGTCTTTTTTTCCGTACTCTCTTTAATAAATTAAGAAAACACGGGATGTTTCATAGAGGAATGGGTAAAAATAAATTATTTTTTTAATAACTATTTGTTTCTGATAAATAATCTAGGAAGAAAATTAGAAAAAAAAAAAAGATTTGCAGTTTAAAAGAAAAAAAGAAAAAAAATCGTGGGGTGTAAGAAAAAAAACCATCCGTTTTTCTACTTTTATTATTGTGAGAATCTGCACTTGGCAGTTTTTTAAAGAAAAAAACTGCAACCAATATCCATTAGCAAATTAATTTAAAATCTAAGAAATAAAAAAACGAAAAAGAAAATATTTTAAATAAAAAAATTGTATATGTGAGAGCAAATGCATCTGTGATTAATCATTTAAAAAATGAGGAATTTGATGTGGGTGCATTGGTGTCACTTTCTGGAGAAATTCTAAAAAAATTGTTTAACCATTCATTTTATTTTATTTTGGTTAGATTGTAGTTAAAAGCATATTCACTTTGCTTCAACTTCTTTTAGCTTATTTTTTTTTACAATATTCTCCAGAATTGCTTTATTTTATACTGTTTCCTCTTTAATTTTTCTTAAATTATTTTATGTTATAACATATGATACATTACATTTTTTAATATTTTATTAGATGTATTAGACTCTACCAATATATATGTGGTTAAAATGCGATGGTGGTATTTTGTTTTTTCATTTTTTTATATGTTACATGTCGTAACAAATGTAGAATAACAAAGTCTATGCCTAAAAATGAGATAAGAAATGACATTTATATATATTACTACTTATTAATAAGTTTACAACACACAGTAAGCACACCCGAGGTGGTCAACATGTGTGCTTGAAGTAAATTTCATTTGAATGAGAGTCAATTTAGTCATTTTAAATAATACTCAATTCTTCTTTTACTTGTACAAAATGCAAGGTTGTTTTATATGGACATCAAATGACCAAAAACCCAATATCATTTAACTCAATTGTCATATGTTATAGAGCATTGCAATTGGCTGAAAAGGAACTTCAGTGTAGCTACAATAGGCGAAATGGTCTGGTGGACCCTTATACTTGTATCACTTTGTATTCTGAACCCTTCTACTTACACATTTGTCATCTGGACCCTTAAACTCAAATAAAATAAGACTTTTAAGCCCCTCCAACCATGTGTGTAGCTCACTCTCCTTTATATAATTGACATGTCATATCCACATCACATATATTAATGCCACATCATAATTATTTCATAACTATTTTTTAAAAATTACTAACCAAAATTATTTAATAAAATATAAAATAATAACATTTTAATTTATTATTGGCATTTCTAATTCTCTATATTTTCACTATTTCACTACCAAAAAAAAGCCATCACCGGCGTCACCATTTTGGCCGGCGAATCACATATATTCTCTCCCTTAAGTAGTAATCTGGAGCCTCGCCTTGGTCAATGAAAGTTCCTGAGGCCATTAAGGCAGCAATAGCAAACATCTCAGCAATAGACAAAGGCAATTTGGACAAAATCCCCAAAAAATTTCTAGGCAATTTCTTCACAATCCCAAAACCAACAACACCATTCTTCGTCTCCTCCACCTTCCTTCCACCATTTCCTACAGTCCCTTCTTCCAATTCAACAACTGGTGGCGCCACACCATCAGAACCTGGAACTAAAATTGGTCTATTTTCCTTGCTGGGTTTATTCCCTTTTACTGTATTGAGCTTACATGTAAGAGTAAAAGCAAAAATACGGCCTTTGTTGCTGTAAACACCAAGAATTCGAGAATTGTGGATAAATGGACGAACCTGCTCGTTACACCTCCATACATGGACTGAAGCAAACCTCTTGCCTCTGCAAATTTTTACCCCCAAAAACTTCAACATCAATGGAGACTCTCAAGATTTCATCAAGAATCTCACTTGTGCAACTTTCTCCCCCACCCGTCTTCATCTCCGTCGCATACCATCACTATTTTTCTTCCCTCCTTCAACCTCCACAGTAACAACAGCCTAAGCCACCGCACAATCAGATCTGGCCACCGCACAACCAAATCTGGCCAAACTTTTCGTAAGAGGCAAGTACTTCTTGTTCTTGTAAACTTCTCTAAGAGCTGACTTTTGCTTCTGTGAGATGACAGTCAAAACCTGTGCAATTGACAACCTTATCACCTTGATTTTGGATAGCTTGTTAGGAGCACCACTGGTGACCTTTGCAACATGGAGAAGAGAAAGCTCCGCCTTCAGATCCTTCAACTGAGCCAAAAGGTCTGTCTTCGACTTGTTCCTCAACTCATGAACCTTTATTCTCGCCATGGCTGCTGCCCCTTTGAGGTTACTGCTCAGACGACGATGGAGATTGGAAAACAATTAAGCTTGGAAGAAGAAATAACTTTTAATTAATTGTTTTTTAAAAAAAAATATTTCTTTTATAATTTTATTATATTTTTAACTTTAAAAAGTTGTTCACTCGCCTTAAGATGTGTGAAGTCACACACTTTCGCAAACTCAGCCATCTTAAAGACACATAAGCTTGGTCAATGGTCAGAAGAATTTGTTAAATTGTGTTTTATTGAGTTTAAGGGTCCAGATGACAAATGTGTAAGTAGAAGGGCTCAGAATACAAACTGATACAATTATAAGGGTCCACCAGACCATTTCGCCGCTACAATATAAATATTTGTACTCCTTTGTCAGAACTGCCCCTATGCGGATATGCTTATCTTATCAACCATGTGTTACGTGGTGAAATTAAAGACATCTTCTTGAGACAAGTCATTTTATGCGGGACCGACCTAGATATATATATTCCCTCCGTTTTATTTATATGTCATTCTTACTAAAAATAGATAATATTTAATATTTGTCATTTCACAAAATCAATGCATAAATAACACTATTACTTCTATTTTACCCTTGTGAGTCCTTGGTCTTGAAAATATATATTTGACAAACATAGAAAAACTAAGTAAATATTTCATGTTTATTGGTCAAATTAAATAATAAAATAAATAAATTCATGTTCATTGATTGAATACTTGACTTCAAAAAAACAATAAATAATGATAGAATAGTAAATTTACTTAGTTTCTTAATGCAAGTGAAATCTAAAATAGTGACATATAAATAGGAACGAAGGGAGTATATCATAATTCTCTATTTGTATTATACAAATAGAGAATTAAGCTCTATTTGTATCATACAAATAGAGAATTAAGATATACTCCCTCTGTTTCCTTTTATAAGTCATCCTTACTATAAATAGTTGGTCCATAATACTTGTCATTTCATAAAAATGTTGCATAAATTACAATATTCTTTCTATTTTACCCTTGTGAGTTATTAGCCTTGAAAATATATATTTTGATCAACCTAGAAAAACTAAGTGAATAATTTATGTTCATTGGTCAAATTAATTAATCAAAATAAATTAGTTCATATTAATTGATTGAAAAGTTGACTTCAAAAAAATTTAAATAACGATAGAATAGTAAACTTACTTAATTTATTAATGCACATAAAATAAAAAATAAGTGACATATAAATAAAACAGTAGGAGTATCGTATTATATTGTATTAATGAATATAATATTTGAATAAATTATATTATTTTTAATGGGATGTAGGAAAAGGAGCCTTTTTCCAAATCAATGAAATGAAAAGGAGTCGAGTAGAAAAGAAACTCAAAATTATGTAGAAAGTACTATGAATTACAATGATTAATAATTTAAATATTTTTAAAACATATATTAAATTTGTTGGGCTCTCGAAATTTTACATATGCCACATAAATTGGCACAGAGAAAATAACACATATTATTTAAAATAACGTAAAAATATTATAAATTACAATAATTAACAACTTCAAATATTTTTAAGAATATATATATATATATATATAAATTTAATTGATTTTCAAAATTTTATCTGTGCCACATAAATTGAAATGAAAAAATAATTATATTGGGGCCATGCTGACACGAGCTTGTCTTTGAAGAGTGAATAAGCACACTCCTCTCCGTCAACACGTGTGCTTACATGGAAATACACTCAATTTAAGGGTTATTTTTGTCATTCTATGCTTTACCTTAAGCTTGATCCCTCATCTTTCATTAATCGAAATGCCACTGCCCACTCCTAAAGACCTCCATCTCCAAACGTTTTGCTCTGTCCTCTTGTCCTATTCTCAAATTTGCACTATGGTGGAGTTTACACCTCCGTTCTATCTCAGGTAAGCATCCATCAATCTTGGCGCCATTTGCAAAGTATGCCGACCGTCAAACACCTCCATCTCCGACCGTCTGTTCTCCCCTCCTTTCCTCTTGTTCTTAGCAAGTCTACGATCTCGGGTGAGCATACTTTTCAGTGGTGTTTTCTAGAAATTTCTCTCCAAAATTTTATTGTGTCTTCTAGCTTCTTTGATTTTGATTCCCTAATTCTACTTTGAAATTCTTTTGTGCTTGACACCAAATTTGGGTATGTTTCGTATTTCATTATTTTACCCTTTCTATCTATTTCTTTATTTTTTTTATTCATGTTGGTGTAGTCAAGGGTCTGTGTTTGAGAAGATTTGATGACAAAGTTTGGATTTTTCCTGTTGAAAATGAATTGAAAAATTTGTGGATTATATTTGGGTTTGTAGTTTTCCTTTTTGCTGTTGGGTTAAGTAATGGTATGTACTTGAACAATTCTCCCGTTGAGCTAACCTTTTGGGTTGAGTTAGACCAACTGTTATATTCTTTACGGATTTTATGGGATTGATAAATTCTTGAACATATTAATAAAAGCTTTGTAGTTTGGCTATGTAGGATTAATAAACATTCTAATTTCTTATTTTCAATCTGTAAAGGTCTGATTCTAGATATACATTTCTTTTTTTTCCGTAGTTGTAGGGACAAAAGATTGTTCCTTTTTGATTTGGCAAGAAATAATTACAAAATTCACCACAATAATATTTCTAATATGATCATGAATATCTTTCTTCAAACCTTTAGCTAAGAGGTTTCTTGATATTTATAGTTTCCTTGAAAATAATCTAAAATATATATTGCTCGGACTCTACAACAGTGTGGGCACACCCATCTCAGATCCTTAAAAATAAGTTACTTTTAGTGAATCCGCCATGTACATAGATTTTGTTTTTCCAATCAGCAATCATTGTTTAACTTGCAAAATCATAGTATTAGCCTCTCTTATACTTTTTGTTAAATTATGGATCCTTACATAGGAGGCAGGGCACTCAGTATTGAGATTTTGAAGGAGTGATTGAAGAATCGAATAGACTTTACTATTTAGACTTTTGAACGAGAAACATAAACAATCGGTAATAAAAAACTATTATGAGAGGTGGTTGTTATAAAAAGGTCGAATTGTTTACAACAACATAGATTTTCAGTTCTCATCACATAGATCAAAATAACCCCATACTTTTGGAATCTGTGGACAACAACATAAATATTTTTATGACTCATGTTGTGATCTTCATAGTAAATACGACTTTAGCTTTCCAGATTTATTGGCGTACATTCTTTGATAATAACGACAAGTTCTCCTTTTGTTAGTATGCCTCAAATTGATCCCAACTTTTACACTGGTTGAATTAGGTTGTGCCCAAATTGATGTGCTGATGAATATATCCCAACCTTAGCCACCAAAGTTTGATCTTACATTTTATGGTCAAAATTTGACACCCCCACTCTTCATGGAATAAATACTTATTACTGCCAAACTAATTTTTGCTTTATCTTTTGAGGAAATAGGTGTTGCATACACATTACATTCTCCAGACCCTACTTGTGGAATTACAATGGGTATGTTGTTGCATAGTTTGGTTGTTTTCTGTATTGAGTTACAAGGTCTATTTTATATTAATTTGGAAAACAAAATGTTGATACTACTAAAGCTATGAACATTGATGATTATGCAGCTGAAAATAATCCTGTTGAGGTCTCTAATAATGTTGTTCTACAAAGGCTTCTTCTGAGTTGAAGTAATAGGATTTGCAGTGATGATTTTCACTGCAGCAACTTCATTCGCTTTCATTTGTTGGGAGATTAATCAGATGCTTTTCTGTCACACACACTTGGGATTTTCGCTTTGGATTAGTCTTGAAGACACATATATGCACCCAATCCCATTTAATAACCTTCATAATTTTATAGAAACTGTATCTTCTTTATGAATCTGACAGTCTTTTCAATAGTGGAAACATAATTGAGCCCATTGTCACGGACTTAGAGTGATGGCTAAAGTTCCGTGTGGCCCTTGACGGTTTACTCACTAATCTTTCAAGCTTCTTGTAAACTCAAGGAAGCCTTTAGGACTTGGTTTGCTAAGAGAATGTTTAAGGAAAGTTTTGGAAAGAACAAAGAGAGAGCTTTTGAAGAAGGCTTTGTATTGAGCTTTGGAAGATTGCTTACAACTTGCTTGGTGCCTTTGCAAATGGTGGCACCTCTATTTATACTACTCTCTAAGGGCTAAAGTGTAATTAATATTTACATGGGAGGTCCCTAAGTTATCTACACATTGGTCCCCTTTCTAGAGAATTCTACATGATCTAGAATTCTCCAAGGCCTTCTTGAATTGTCTAAGGTATTCTAGAGTTTTCTCCTTAACTCTAGAAACCTCTACGCCTCTTTGGATGCAAAATTTGCCTATGTTGGTGGCGGGACGTCACATGCTCCCCCACCTGATGATGCGACGACCGCGGCGCATTGCTGCAAAAACTCTCGGACTTGGTCTTTGAACTGCCACAAGTCTTCATATCTCTCCCACGTGGCCTCCTCCGGTGATTGTCCCTTCCAATGTACAAGGAACATGGCGCTGGCTTGTTGACCCCGCTTCCGTTTGGCTTGATAATCTATGATGGCTTCGATCTCCCGGTCATGCGAGGTAGTGACAGTAATGGGAGCCCGTTGTGATCGGTTCCGGCTAGTGTCTTCCTTGTCCTCATGATAAGGTTTGAGGACGCTTGCATGAAATACCGGATGGATTTTGAAGTGTGGAGGCAACTCCACCTTATATGAGATCTTGCCCACTTTGGCAATGATCTTGAACGGACCCTCATATTTTCGCACTAAGTTTTGATGAACGCCCCTTAGTGCCTTGAACTGTCTTGGATTGAACTTCACCAAGACCATGTCGCCTTCTTTGAAGTTCGTGGGACGCCTTTTGCGGTCGGCAAATTTTTTCATCTTGCTTGCTGCCTTGTCCAGATAGGACTTGGCAGTGTCAAGCTGCTCTTCCCATCCTTTGGCAAGGTGGTAAGCTCCCAAACTCTTCCCTTCGAAAGCGGCTGGCAAAGAATGCGGAGTTTGGGGCTGTTGGCCTGTCGCCAACTCAAATGGTGTGCGCCCGGTGGACTCACTCCTCTGCAAGTTATATGAGAATTGCGCCATGTCTAGGAGTCTTGCCTAATCCTTCTGATGCGCACTAACATAGTGCCTCAGGTAGCACTCCAGCAGGGCGTTGACGCGTTCGGTCTGGCCGTCGGTCTGCGGGTGGAAGCTTGTGGAGAAATGTAGTTTTGTACCAAGTACCTCGAACAGCTCCCTCCAAAAGTTCCCAGTGAAGCGGGGGTCTCGGTCGCTAATGATATGTCTGGGCAGCCCCCAATACTTCACCACATTTTTGAAGAACAATCGAGCGGCCTCTTTTGCGGTGCATCCGGCTGTGGCGGGTATGAAAGTAGCATACTTTGAAAACCTGTCCACCACGACCATGATAGTCCCATACCCGTCGGACTTAGGTAGGGAAGTGATGAAGTCCATGGTCACGCTCTCCCATGGACGCTCCGCTACGGGTAGTGGCTCCAGTAGTCCTCCCGGGTGTCTTTGCTCCACCTTGTCTTGTTGGCACACAAGACAAGTCTGCACGTAGCACTCTATATCGTCCCGCATGCGTGGCCAGAAATAGATAGCCTCGATCAGCGCCCTTGTTCTTCGCTGCCTAGGATGCCCGGCCCACGGTGTGTCGTGGCTTTCTTTGATGATCCGCCGCCTGATAGTCCCGAACTTTGGCACGTAGACCCTTCGACCGAATGTGAACAAAAGGCCATCTTCTGCCCAAAAGCGCCTTGTCTTGCCTTGGGTGGCCAACTCCATCAACTTCTTGGCCTCGGGATCATGTTGCATGCCATCTTTGATCGCATCTTGAATATCACAATGGACCGTTGTGATGGCAGCAAGCTCGGCCTTCCTACTTAGCGCGTCGGCCACGACATTGCCCCTTCCTGGCTTATACTCCAAGGTGTAGTCAAACTCGGCTAGAAAGTCCTGCCACCTAGCTTGTTTCGGAGTGATCTTCTTTTGTGACTGAAAATAGCTAGTGGCCACGTTGTCTGTCTTGACTACGAACTTGGAGCCTAGTAGGTAGTGTCTCCACGTGCGCAGGCAATGTACGATGGCTGTCATCTCTTTCTCCTGAACCGTGTACCGCCGTTCGGTCTCGTTCAACTTGCGGCTCTCGAATGCTATGGGGTGCCTATCCTGCATTAAGACTCCTCCAATGGCAAAGTCCGAAGCATCCGTATGCACTTCGAAGGTTTTCGAAAAGTCGGGCAGCGTCAAGACCGGTTCCTCTGTCACCGCGGCCTTGAGACCTTCGAAGGCTTGTTGGCACTCCGTGCTCCAAACCCACGGCTTATTTTTCTTCAACAACTCGGTCAGTGGAGCGGCTTTTGCGGAGTAACCCCTTATGAACCTGCGATAATAATTCGCAAGTCCAAGGAACGATCGTAGCTCGGTCACCTTAGTGGGCACCTCCCACTCTTGGATTGCTCGTATTTTGGCCTCGTCCATCCGTAGTTCGCCCTGGCTGATGATGTGACCCAAGAAATGTACTTCATGTTGGGCGAACTCACACTTCTCCCGCTTGATGTATAGCTGGTTCTCCCGTAAGACTTGGAAGACCTTCCTCAGATGCTCCACGTGCTCCTCCAAGGTGTTGCTGTAAATGACAATATCGTCCAAGTAGACCACTACGAACTGATCCAAGTAGGGATGGAAGATCTTGTTCATCAGCGTGCAGAAAGTGGCGGGTGCGTTGGTTAAGCCAAAAGGCATCACCAACCACTCGAACGCTCCGTATATGGTTACGCACGCTGTCTTTGGTTCGTCCCCTTCCGCGATACGCACTTGGTAGTAGCCTTTTCTGAGGTCCACCTTGGTGAAATACTTGGCCTGCCCAAGTCTATCGAACAAATCTGCAATAAGCGGGATAGGGTATTTGTTTTTAATAGTTACCTTATTGAGCGCCCGGTAGTCGATGCATAGACGTAAGGATCCGTCCTTCTTCTTTTGGAATAGTACTGGTGCGCCATAAGGTGCCTTGGATGGGCGGATGTGACCGGCCTCGAGGAGCTCCCTTAGCTGCTTCCGTAGCTCCTCTAACTCAGGTGGAGCCATGCGGTAGGGTGCATGTGCGGGCGGTTTGGCTCCAACTTCCAGCTCTATCTTGTGGTCTACCTCGCGCCTCGGAGGTAGAGTCTTCGGCAGCTCGTCTGGCATCACGTCCTTGTTCTCTTCAAGGACCTTCTCTATGATCGGTGGCAAGGTCTCCCTAGCACCATTGTCTTCACCCAAACTTGCGATGGTGGCTAGGAACGTCGGTTCTCCTTTCTTCAGGCCCTTCACGATCTGCATGGCCGACAAGAGGGCGTGTCCTTCCTTCTTCAGGATTTTGAGTAGGGGTACCATGCACGACCCTTCCCGCTCAGCGCTGGAAGAACTCCTGCCCAAGAATAATGTCAAAGATGTCTAAAGGAGCGACGGTAAAGTTTGTCTTACCTTGCCAATCTCCAATCGTGATGCTCACTCCTTGGGCGACTCCACACACAGGGGTCGGCGGTGCGTTGACCGTCTTTAGGCGGGTGTTGCTTGGAACATACTTCAGCCCTAACCTCTCTGCCGCCGTCTTGGTCATGATGTTTGTTTCTGCCCCAGTGTCCACCATGGCCCGAGCTGCGTGTCCATTGAGGGAGATGTCTACATACTGCGTGTTGAAGTCTCCGGGCTTCGCTGTCTGCTTGGCTATCGCCCCACATAGTCCAACCATGCCCAATTGCGTTGTGCCCACGTCTTGTCCTTGTTCTTGCACGTCCTTCTCCTTTCGCTCGCGTAGGATGGCGCCAAGGTTTTTCATCTCCGGGCACCTGGCGTAGCCGTGTGGTCCTCCGCATATGTAGCATCCATCTCCTTTGGTGGTCTGCGCCTTCCTATCTGTGTAGTTCTGGCGCACGAACCGCTTGCCGTCTGATTTGTGGGAGTCGGGCTGTCTTGGGTGCGCCTGCTGCTCCTTGCCTCGGCCGCGATCTCCCCCACCTTTAGCATGACTGCCCCTTGCATCCTTGCCTTTAGCCTTGTCATGCCGTTCATGTTTATAGTCCGTCAAGGACTCGGCTTGTGTGATGGCCTCGTCTATGGTCTTGACTTGCCGCCGCTCCAACTCCGTTTTGGCCCAATTTTGCAGTCCGTCCATGAAGTGGAACAGCATGTCCTCGTCCGTGAGGTTGGGAATCTGAAGCGTTAGTGTTGTGAACTCCTTTACGTACGCCCGTATGCTTCCTGTTTGCTTCAACTCCCTGAACTTACGCTTAACCTCGTATATGACGTTGGTAGGGAAGAAGGATTTCTTGAACTCCTCGCGGAATTGCTCCCACGTGTCGATGGTGCACGTCCCCTTCCCTATGTCAGCTTCCTTGCGTCTCCACCAAAGCATGGCCATCTCGGAAAGATACAACACGGCAGTGTTGATCTTATTCTCGTCACTCTTCACCCGATTACACTTGAAGTAGTTCTCCAAGTGCCACAAAAAGTTCTCCACCTCTTGAGCGTCACGGACGCCTTTAAACATCGGTGGCTTGGGAGCCTCGACCCTGGCCTCCCTATCACGGTCGGGTGATGCCGATCCTCCAGCTTCTATGCCTTCCTTAAGTGTCCTCATTTCGGCCTTCATGGTTTCGATTGTGTTTAATGCCTCCATGAGCCGGCACTCCAAGGAAGTGATGGCCTCCTTCATCTCGAATTCAGCCCGCTGACGTCCCTCCAACTCCTTTCGGATGTTCTCGATCTCCTCAAGGGTGAAGTCTTCAAGAGTCTTGAATTTGCCATCGGCCACGTTCATGCGCCGGCCTAATATCTCCACGGCCTGCCTGGCCACTTCAACCCTTGAGACCCACTCTTCTCCTGCGGTGACGTCGATGGCCTCCTCGCCATGTTCTTCGTC